ATTGATATTAATGTGAAAAACATTCAAATTATGACAATTATATACAGCAGCAAGTTGTAGCTGAATAACTTATTGGCTTCATTTGATATCAGGTATGGGATTATCTTGGAAGGCAACAACAAACACTAACTTTCTCACTACTACATAATCATCATGTTCCTTTTAGTTGAACACCAATAATAAAAATTGCTACAAATATTTGCTTTGGTTTCTTTCTTGTAAATATTCAATTTCCTTTTTGGCTATTATAGAGAAGGCTTAAAGAGAGTTTTATGGTTTGCCTGGAATCTCTTTAAAGTTTAAAAAGATGAACTTTTTGTTTTTTTAAATGTGAACCCAGATATAGATTAGTATTCAAGGCGGAAAGTTTTCAAAGTTTTATGGAGAAGACATTTAAGGACCTTAACTATGTAAAAATGAACTGATCAAATAAGTTTGAAAGAAACTTTCACAAATATGAGAGCATCTACTAAATGAGAGATATTTAATAACAAGATCAATGGGGTATGACTGTTTTTATATATATATATATATATATATATATATATATTATAAAACACGTAAAATGAGACATGACTTTAGAGCGGGATATGAGTTCATAATTATTAACTTCATAGAATTATCTAAAATTTAATCATGCAGCTTTAAAAAATATAAAAAATAAAAAAAAGATTGAATTTCCTAATCCAATAGATTCCAATTCTTAATCCTAAGAGGTCACTGACCAAAATCTGGACAGTCAGTATAAAATTTTATAGAATAATACTATAAAACTATTATGAGACTCAATTACTATTACTTTTTATTTAATTACTATTTCTTTCATGTTAATTTCATATGCTTGACAGCATTGCCACTTTTATGACATCGATTGACTAATTGAGCATGAGTTTGAAACAGGACAGTAAAAAGACCAACACTTTGAAGACAATAATTGGAAGATATATATATTTAAAAATACACATGTGAAAACCTTAACAAAATATGCTGTCATTTTTTATAGCTAAGGTATGCCATTAATAATAATAATAGTAGTAATATTAGCATTTATGGTGAAACTCTTTATCTACATTATTATTATTTTGCTTAACCCTTCCATGTATTAAAAGATCACACTTTCAGTAATAACAGAAGGGAAAAGATTCTGTTTCAGTTTTTCATTTCAGAGATCAGGAATTGTCAATATACTTTTTTTTTTTATTTCAAACTATTGTTCCCCTCTTGGTCGATATGTTATTATAGGCACAACATTTTGACCAAATACTCTCTGGTCATTATCAGCTGTCCAATGATTAGCTGATATGAGATAATACAAGATTATGCTTGTTTGAACTTGCTTGGACATTAAAACTTAAGTGAATCCTGACATGATTAGAATCACAGGTACCAGAGATAAGCAAACAAATTAGATATCTGCTAAGGCAGAGTTCTACTGAATATATATTGCAATTAACATGGAAATAGAAAGTCTTTCTTCTCTTAATATCTGTAATTATTTGAATTTGTTTTAAATGGGCTTGACACAGTATGGAATTAAAATATATATATATATATAATAAAAAAAAATAATAAAAAAACATGGAGTATTTTAAAAATAATTTTATCCATATAGTCAAAGAATGATGGCTTAATGTGTGTCATTTATCTATCTCCAGGTTTGTAATTTAAATAGTGTAAGAGTTGCATAGAGTTCAAATTATAAATGATAAATAATGCAAAAAAATAAAATAAAATAGAATAAAATAAAAAGTGGAACTTCTACAATGCATGCATTTTTTATACCAGGAGAGAAGCAGATTCTAGTGGCAACAGGTGTTAAGTAGAAAAACTAAAATCATAATGACCAGATTAAAGACATTAAATTAACTTTTATTATTACCATTTCTGGTTGATTCTTTTCCACTATTTAAATCATTAATGCCCCATCAAAAAAAAAAAGTATTAACTGTAGGCTTTTTACATATAACCCATTAATGCCCACTATTCAAAAAAAAAAAATATATATATATATATATATATATATATATATATATATATATATGACAGTGAGCATTATTAGGTTAAATGGAAATCAAATTGATTTTTTTTTATGGTTAATCAACCCTTTGCAGGTCACTTAAAGTCAAAAAACACTTAGATTGTAAGAATTTTTTTTTTTTTGAGATAATAGTTTAGTGATGCAAGTCTTACTAATTAACACATAGCTGGGGGAGAAGAAGTGGATTAATACTTTTCCCAAAGGTATTTGCACAAAAGTGAATGGGTATTAGAACTCTGTTCTCCGATTAAAAATTCAGGTACATTATCCATTACACCACTTATACATCCAAGCTTACAGCAGCTGGCATTCCCAAGTGGTCACCCATCTAGGTACTGATCAGGCTTGACATTGCTTAACTTCAGTGATGTGGCCATAAACCAAAATCAAATTACAACATTTAAGAAAACAAAGGGAGAAAAGTAAAGATTCATTTTCTATCATATTATTTCAAGTAACTTAAGAACAACACTATATATTTATCCCTTTCTTCAATATAATAAATGCAAATGTCAGTGTGTCACTGTATCACACTTTTTCAACTTTACTCATAGAGGCCATAGTCCAACATATATCAATTTGGAATCAGGGTAACTCCGTGAACAAATGAAAAATATTCCAGGGTAGATCCAGAACCACAATCCCAAAATTTTGGATTCCCAAGTTTTCATTACTGCGATTGCTTTTGGATTCTACCATATTGGCCTCTACTGATAAAAACGAGGACACAACTCTCTAATTTTCAATTAGTTCATGTTCAAATGAAAAAATTACTGTTCCCAAATTAGTCTTTCAAAATAAAATTGTCCTTGTTTTCAAGTTTACCCCTAAAGGCCATAGCCCAACATATACCATTTTCGAATCATGCCAACTCCATGAGAAAAATTAAAAACATTCTGGGCATGATCCAAACCTGCAATCCTGAAATTTTGGATTCCTAAGTTTTCATTATGCAATGGCTTTCCCCAATTTTTTTATGTGATTTTTTGCAACAATTTTTTTGTACAATAATAATTTTTATAACTTGGAAATAAATTTGGGAATAATCAAAATTAATTGTGAAATCCAGCAAAAGTCACTCCTGAAATAAAAATAATTGTTTGTACAGAAAGTAAGGACCTATGTACATCGAATTGTCTTTGGCAGAAGAATTATCATTAAACTTTTAAAAGGTAAGCTTAAATATTAATACGATACTCAAATGCAGTGATCAATTTTGAGTTCTTCTGTAGTTTACTGTTGTCTATCGCATCTAATCCTCCCTAACTAGTGTGATGAAGGCCTGATCAAGAGCCCTCCACGGGAGTTAGCTTAAATGCCACCCAACAGGGAGGTTTTTAAGCTAATCATCTTATATTCTGCATTTGAAGATGAACTGAGGTAGGTGGTCATTCTAAGTCTTAGAGTATAATGTTAGCAGAAACAAGAAAGTAAAAACCGATAGCAAATAGTTTCAGTTAATAATAAAATCAACTGCAATGGTCAAATAGTGTATGGTATAACACTTGTTATTTTAACACTTACAAAACAATGTGTACTCTATCAGTAGAAAAAATTAAAGCTTTATCTGTATTAGAAACAAACAGCTTATATGCAAATGGACAACAAATTAAGATAACTAAAATAGAAAGTTCATCCTCAACAAGGATGTGTTTTCTTACCAGCTTTATTTAACCTGTATAAGTAGATGATTGTACATGAACTGGAGGTCTTATCAAGATTCATTATAAGCAGACATAACCATAACAACATACGCTATGGAGATGACAGTGTTCATGGCAAATTCAGAAAGAACTATTAGAGAAGGCAATCAAGAAGAGCTAACTGTAAGAAGATGAAAAGCATAGTGGTGAACAAAAAGGACAGCCCAAAGCACGACTTGCATATTGGGGATGACTTCAAAATTAAATTAAGAGCAGACATTCAACTATCTGGGCAGTATAATAATAAATGGTGGAAAGTGTGATACATTTATCTAAACGCACACAGAAATAGACAAAGATCCTTTTCAGTAACATTCTAAAAAGGAAAGAGAACTGAACTTTGTCATGTCTAGCAGTGAAAATGAGACAATTTAATCACAAATTAAAAAAAAACTTGCAATAGCTAAAATGTGATTTTACTGATGAAAATGGAAAATGCCATAGGTAACACATGCAACAAACAAGGAAGTTCTAAAGAGAATAGGAACTAGAAAGAAACTGCTCATAACTATCACAATGAACTGAAATTTTTGGTACACAAAATGAGAAAAGAAAGCTTGGAGCATATAAAACTCACAGGACGGATGAAAAGCAAGAGAAACACAGGAAAGCAGTGAGAGACTGACATGACAAGTGTGTGCAAACAAAGAGAACATGTATCACAGAAAGAAAGACAAAGTATTGCTGAGATAAAATATAAGGAAGTTGTGGAGAGCCGTAACTGACCACATCCTGAAGAGTTACATCACAGAGAAAGCTATTTTATTTTTGATAATGTGTTCTCTTTTGTGGGCCTCTACAGCAACAAGACTCTGCTCTACCAACTCCAATTGAAGCCAGACTTTCAAAACAAAAATCTATGACTTTGAAAGGCTAACAGATGCCACATATGTGTTCCCATATGTCAAATTATCTTTAACAAATTAAAGCTTCAAAATGAAATTAAAAAGCTCAGCAGACTCAGTGATAATTCTAAGTAATCTGAAGCAATGGATTGATTGATTTTTTAAAGTTTATCAACCTTTTGTAGGTTATTCTAAAGCCTGAAAATATTTTTAGATTATAAGAATTTTTTGGAGATAGTAATGATTTACTGATTCAAGTCCTACTAATTAACCCATAGCTGGAGGGAACAGAGGTGGATTCATATCTTTCCCAAGGGTATTTGCGTATAAGTAAATATAACAAACCTGACTGGAATTGGCACATCGATTTCCAATTCCAAACCAATATCCATAACACCACCTGTACATCCAAACTTACAGCACTTGGTATTACCAAGCAGTCACCCACCTAGGTATTGACCAGGCTCAATGTTGCTTAACTTCTGTGATCATACAAGAACCAGTATTTTAATGTAATATGGCCGTAAGCCTTCAGCAATGGAAGGATTTAGAGAGCTTATAATCTTGTCAGAAGGATTGGCTATAATTCAAATTAAGTACTTTTTATGTTTTCTATAGTTAAGCCTAAATCTGATCCCTTACTCACTCAGTCCAATACTCAACAGCTATGGGTGCCAGAAGCTTTGCAGGAGGCATCTACCCCTATACACACCTACCTTCTTGGCATTGAGGCAACTGTGTGGCCTTGATGTAAGTGTAAATAGACATTTTTGAAAGTGTCACCTGAGTCTCATTCTTTGTTGTTTTTTTTTGTTTTTTTTTTGTGTGAATTGTAATCTATTTTTGTATGTTATTTTCAGGATACATAAGTTGTTGGAACTTTATAATTCAGTGGTACTTGTCTCAGCAAATGCGGAATGCAGTTTTAGTGGAATGCATCATTTAAAGTCTTGACTAAGGTCAAAGATGACGGCCAACAGTCTGAAAAACAGGATGTTTCCTGCCACACACAAAAACCAAATAGATAACTTATGCTATGCGAAAAACAAAGGAATGTACATGAGGAAAAGAAAAAAAAACAGGAGGTGTTGGAACTATTTCAGAACATTTTAGAATGCAACTATTAAAAAGTCCTATCAGGATTTATTATTGACAGACACAATCTTAACAACATATGGAGATGACATTGTATAGATGGCAAACACAGATATAAAATTGCAGGAACACTTAGTCAAGCTTCTTTTTTTTTCTTTTTTTTGTAAAAATTTCACCCCAAGCAAGCCAATAAAGCCACTAAGATACAAGGGGTTACAGTGTGTTTGAGAAAAAAAAACAGCAACACTATCAAAGAGAGAAAACGTTAAAGGAACAAGAAGACGGAAGATAATGATTAACATTGGATTTACATTTTTGAAGATTGAAATTGACTGGGAAACAAGAAACCAGAAGACAGTCCCACAACTAAGAAGTTTGAGATAAGAAACTGTTAGCATAGAACTTACAGTTACATCTAGGCATTTCAGCTGTAAAATGATGGGACCTTGCTGCCAATCTAGTACTGCAATTAAATTCATAAAGTCTAGGTACCATAGAGGAAAGTTCATCACAACAATTACCATTAAAGTATTTATAGAAAAGGCACAGGGAAGATACATTATGGTTATGGGAAAGTGACCTCATACTATCCTCTACCTTTATAAGAGCCAGCTCAGGCCAAAAATGGAGTACTGTTGTCATATTTGGGCAGGAGATACCTAGTCTGGACTTTACAGTCTTGATAGAGTTCAAAAGTGTCCTTGAGTCCTTGTGGGTGAATTATTTTCCACCCTCCAACCTCTTTCTCACAGGCAAGATGTAGTAAATCTCTCGCTGCTTTATCGCTACTACCACAGAATGTGCTTGGACGAATTAGATCTCTTGATTCTACCAGGTCAGATTTTCATGGCTAGGAGCTGCTATGCCACTTACATAGTAGCAAACCACCCATATTTGCACTGTATTCCATTAGCAAGAAGTTCCACTCAAACAGCTTCCTCCCATGAATCACTGCCCTATGGGACACACTCCCAATCACTACAATCTTAACCTGTTCAAGTCTACAGTCAACTAATATCATTCCCCTTCTATCTATATAAACTCCTCCTTATCGTAACCCTCTGCTTCAAGTGGACCCCTAGCCTTGTACAGGGTGAACTTTACTGTAAAAAAAAAAAAAAAAAACACATTGTCAAATGCCCTTTCTGAAAAGATGCCCCCATTGCCTTGAATTACTTCAGCTGCTCCTGAACCTTTTTCATCAGAGCATGTAGTTCCGATTTGGAAACAAGTACAGTTAACGTTAAGTCCAGCATGTTGTCACTTAATGAGGTGACCTCCCTACAACCAAAACCTACATTGGTTCTAATTTCAGCTGTGGGTTATAATGTACTTAAAATAAAAAGAACTTAAAATCTTTAGTCAAGTGTGTAATATCTGTCACAAATATTAGAAAAATCAAGCTGTTACTTGCACTTTTTACTTGGTGAAATCTACACACTATATCTAACTGCTACGTTAGCAATGCATTTAGACACAGATTTCATTTATTTTGATATCAATCATTTTGAAAGATCACTTATTAGTTGTTCTCACCAATAGCAACTGATTTGTTAATAGAAGAGTAAAAGTTCTACTTTTATCTAAGATTGAAGTATAAGATGTGTTTGCTATATTAGAGAAAAAAATTTAGCTGAGATAAAATTAATGTTGATATATAAATTTAACAAAAGAATTTCTTTGTTGTTTTTATGAATTATCTGTTGAAAATTCATTTTTTATTTAAAAATACTGAGTACCAGTTTTAAGACATGGTATGAGAGCAACCAGATTGGGTTGCCAGTTCCTTCTAAAGTCGACTTCAGTAGTTCCCAAATGGGTGTGGCGAAAGATTGATTGAAAGATTTAGAAGCAATTTCAAGAAATTCATATGCCAAAAATAAATATTATTTCAAAATTTAAAATATTATTTTACATGACTTGTAATTGCATGCATGAGTCCCAGTCTAAATAGTTATTGACCGAGTTTATCACTGAGATATTTTTGCATTATATCAAGTATTAAGAATATAGTAACTAGGGATCGCAGGTTGGAGGAGAGAGTTATCAATGATAAGGTTCTGACTTTGAACTCATGGCTATCTCCCTTTAACCCCCTCTCTGCTATTTTTTTTATTTTTAAATGTAATTTTTATCACATAAAATTTGGTGAGGCACAAGCAAATTTTCATTCCAAAAATGCAGCACAGAGAAAAAAAAAATGTTTTGAAACCATTTGTCTACTTCTAACATCTCTGCCTGAACTCTGAAATTTTTTTTACTGATTTTTTTTTTTTTTTTAACTTAAAAAAGTGTCAAAAGGTCGGTTTTTTCCCTTGACACTGCTATTATTTTAACTACCTTCACTCCTCGGCAATGTTTATTCTTTTAAAAAGCAATGATTAGAATTTTAATAAAACCTAAACATGATGAAAGTAAATTTATACATTTTCTTTGTTCTTGAGAATTGACATCAAAAATAATAAACACTATTTTTTTTTTTATTATACTCTTTTTATTGGAATGTTTGGCAAAACATCATCTAATTGCTAATTGATTAGAACTTTATAAAATGGTAAATAATAAGGATTTCTTTATAATTGGTTCACATATTTTAATAATTTAGTAAATGTTTATAAATTTATGAATAAAAAATTCTTTTCATATTTATTTCTTTATAAACTGGTAAATGATAAATATTGCATTAGTTTTAATGTAATTGTATTAGTTCTTAGTATTTTGTAAATATAAAATTCTTGTAGATAAACAACATAGTGTTTAATATTTTTGCTTTAAATTCTCAAGAACAAAAAGAAAATGTATAAATTTACTTTCATCCTATGTTTAAGTTTTTACAATTCTAATCATCACTTAAAATAAACACTGCCAAGAAGTAAAGGTTGTTAAAATAGTAGCAGTGTCAAGGGAAAAACCATCCTTTTTAAACACCTTTTTTTTAATGAAGATTAAAGATCGCAAAAAAAATTAAATTAAAAATAGAAACAGTGATAAAAAGAAAAATAAAGTTAATTAGATTTTAAAATCAGTGACTTAGTTAAAAGTAGAAGGGTAGAGAAGTGACTTCAATGACTTCATCCATTAATTAGGAGAATTTTATATTTATTTTCACAATGAGAACACATTTTATTGTCCCCCTTTCCAGAAGAGAAAAATCAGTTTGATTTTTGCTTCTAAATGAAACAGTGCCTCTCAATGAACAATTTTTTTTCATTGAGTGATTTTTTTTATTTTTTTTTTATCCAAATTAGGAGTTGTTTAAAGACAAATAAAGCCAAAACGTATTTTAGATTGTAAGAATGATTCCCCCCAGCCTCCACACCCAAGGTATGCATGTAAACAAATGCAATGAACCCAGTTGGAATTAGAACTCTGATTTCTCAATCCAAGTCACTATATATTATGCCATCCAGACATCCTCTTGACACTATGGATGATAATCTACATCCAGCAGAAAGGCTTCTGATCGAGAGATTTGAGGTTGAGGAGCAAGGAACAATTTAATTGCTGTTGTTCCAAGGTCCACCTTGACCCGAAGTGGTAGCAACTGTTAGGGTCCCAGCTATGGGCAAACAGTGAACCCAAAAAAAAAAAAAAAAAAAAAAAAAAAATCCCTTTTAATACTAAAATTACCAACAACACATTTTATGAAATATATATGTAAAAATGCTAATTTTATACTTTCAGAGTAAAGGTATCTACAAAATAATATCTGTAGTTGAAAGCATAATTTCAAAATATTTAGATTCAGGCATTAAATCGCCCATACTGGTTGATATGTTGCTAAACAAAAATCAATCAATCAACCAACATGAAAGAACTCCTTTATGGCGTTAGCTCATATAATATCCTACAATTTCTTAAAGAAATCAAACTGTATTCCAAAATATAACTTCAACAAAACCACAACATAAAACACACATATCATTGCCTCTAGTAATCATGTCCATACAAACATGTATTTTCATTTATGAAAGCAGAACAACACATCATATCTTTATTAATTAAAAGCTCCTAAGAAAATTAAATTTCAGCATTAAAGGACCCATAAGGATGTTGATATGCCATTAAACAAAACAAAAAATTAAATAAATCTTGACACTATAGTAAATTAAAAATATATGAATTTCATATTTATGTTGAGTCACTATGAGTACTATCTGCTACATGGTCAGTAACTAAACAAGTTCCCCAACCAAGTTTTTTTTTTTATCCTGGTGAGGAGTGTGGCTAACCCTAACCCCAGCAGGATCAAGGGGACATGTGAATTTTCTTGTTCATCATGCACAATGAGATACACTTGGCTCCATAACTATATATCCTTATAGTGAAGGCTCAATTATAACACTGCCCGCCGTGGTTTATCTTGGTCAGCAGTGACCAGATGATATGACCCTTGCCACACACCACCTACACCAATATCTTGGTCTTCAGA